CCGCCCACGCATATAACCCGCAGGGGGGCGCTGTGCATGTAAAAACCGCATATAACCCGCGGGTTATATGGGTGAAAATACGGTACTCAAGTAAGGTAAGGTATGGAAAGTTCTGGGAAGTTGGGACAGGCAGATCAACAGTGTGAAGGAAGATTGAAGAGAGAGAGCGAGCAGTGCTCATCAGTCTTACCCTATTCACGCCATAAATACACTCTGGAATTCTTCAGATTTTGTTTCCTCAAATTCCAGAACAACTAAAATATTTGCTTTTGGTTTAAAACAAACCATAAGTTTGTGCACATTCCTATTTAATGAAATGTTACATTTTCTCCTATAGGGAACAGAACTTGATATCTGTTAAGTTTTTTGCTCCTTTATTTTTCATCATAGGATGAAACAGTTAAACACATTTTTTTGTAGCCAGAACCCGATGTGCCTGTATGCCATCAACACCATAATTGCAAAAATACGTCTTTGACTATTGGTTAGAGGCTTTTTTTAAAATACATGTACAGTAATTACACAGTGAATACTTAGCAACATAGCAAGATAAATGTTTGATTAATGCCAATGCATAATGCGTAATTTTGCATTTAGCAAACCTGAAAAAGAAAACGCAACAGACCAAATTATATTACAAATAGATTACTTTAACCTGCTGTATAGAAAGTAATTTAAAGACTGACTGACGGAAGCTTATCTGATATGACATTATCATGGTAATAAAGTACTAATCCAAATCCTCTTTATGTTTGAGGGTGTAAAGAACAAAGGTGCTGCTGACATAGAGGTAGTACCACTAATAATTCAGGAATGATGCACTAGGAAATAAGATAAAATCCTATCCCAACTGCCACTGACTAGATGCTATTAAGGGGAAGAAAAGGCAAGGAACAATTAGTTACATATAGATTCAGATTGAGAACCATTTGGACACTATTTGCTCTGTTGGGACATACAGCTCCAGTATCATAAGTTCTTTGCAGTGGTGGGTTGCAGGTGGTACGCCCCGGTACGGGGGTACCGGTGCCTGCCCGGAGCACCAGGTACCATTTAGGTACTGTGCTCCAGAGGGCCCACCCGCCCGAGCTCCTTACCTGTATTTGAGGTCTTTGGTGCTTCCGCACATGCGCACAGAGCGCACGGCGCCTGCGTGACGCTTCACCGAGCAGCTGGAGCATTGTGGAGGCGTCGTAAGAGGTAAGGGCGAATGTGCGCGCTTCGCACATTCATGTGGTGGACGCCGGGCCCTGTTGCAATGGGATCCAGAACCCACCACTGGTTCTTTGCAGCTTTTGTCCTACTGAGTAGGACAAAAGATGGAAAGGAATCTTTTAGGAATAGGGATAACAACCAAAAGTCTTCTCTCTGATTTTTTTTCTTTTATCAAAATGGTAAAGAGGCAGGGATTCTTAAGTATATGTAATTTCTGCATTAACCCTTGCTTAATGACAGCTCCCTTAGTGATCATTTGAAGTTAGGTCAGACTTCCCAAAAGCTACTTATGACCCAGTTCTGGAGTTCCAA